TTAGTTTTATTTTGTTTTTGCCTACCTTTCACTATTGTAGCTAATTTGAGCCCTCCACTCCTTTGGAAAATTCACAGTTAAGATTAGACAAACGATCATGTTGCATACTAAATAATGTAATATGGGTATGATTTGGAACCGCGACGAGGCTAAAGCAATTAACTAGATGCTCCAATTCTAGATGACCAACGCCTAAACCTGGGGCAATCCGTTATTGTATAGTGGCGCTAGACCAACTGTGTACTGCGGTACCGTAGGAACTTGTTGCATAGGTGATACCCTAGGAAATTGTTGCATAGCTGATGGTGGTGGATATGCACCTGTGTCATGATACACAGTGGCACCAGGCTGCAGCTGCACTTGAGCTGGCTTCATTGGAAAGAAGTTTGCCTCTGAAACTGAGCTCCTCCAGACGGTATTACCGCGAGACTGGCTGATGAGTGCAAATACGAGAAGAGTGACGGTGTAAAGGAATACTGGCAAATATGTCAGCGGGAACAAGACATTCGCACATGAAAGTGGGCTCACAAAAAATCCATACAACAAAGGAAAGCCCAAAGATGGCGAAGAATTCGCGGCACCAACCTTGTTGAATGACTACCAAAATAAGTGAGCATCGAAGGCATCTGTAGATGAGAAAGCCAACTTGAACTTACCATCCAGATCAAAGGTATCTCCACATCCGAAAGGATAAAATAGGTCTTTCCATTGAGCGGTGAGGGCACTGAGGACCAAGAACAGTACCCAGAGAACAGCTAAAGGGAAATGGTTAGATCTCTTTCACATAAATTAGACACTAGGACATACTCAGCGTTGGAATCTCAACAGCGATCATGGATGTAATAGCACCCCTACGAATCAAATCGACGACTATCCTAGACTGTTGTCAGAATGTTGGCGACTCAAATAATTATTGAACCTACATCACCGGCAAAGTGAGCGCAGTCACAGCCCCAGCGACGAGGGCAACAATCTCAAAGTCGTAAAGCACCCTACTTGCCAAGGAGCCTTGGGTCCAATGAGCCGTCAAACCGAGAATCACAAGGCCGAGAAATAACGAAAGGCCTGCGTGGTACAATTGTCAGTGTATCCCAAAATATGACAGCAACAGGATGGATGAACTCACTGAGAGTAACAAGACGAAAGACAGAGATAAAAGACATCTCGAGAATCGAGGATGGGGGGAAAGGCCGAGGAGGGGAAGAAAGGAATACTGTCAAGCTGACATAGGTCTGGTATTTAAAGTTTCAATGACCTCTTGGCAGGCAATGCCTTGGCTTTATGCACGGATCTGTCGACTTGAAGCGGTGACTGTCATCCTATCTGTACGTCACAGTGGGCTAGGCTACCAAGACTATACATAGTCTTCCGCACGGTACGGCGTTTGCCTGTTAACATATGTTTGGTATTGCATGTTGCACCAGATAAATTCTGCAGTGAGTGTCGAGACCCCGCGACTTGGAAAGAGCCAGCCATGCATTTGTTCGAATATCCCAAGACCAATAAACAAGCCTGTTAATGATCCGACATCGCCATGCATTCGGCCAGCCGACTGGGGATCATCAATCAACGTCGAAAGCCTGACAACTTTTAAGTGCTCGCCCAGCATGATGCATGACAACCAGCGTTGGAAAACCGGGGCGAATCCGTACACAACATGTAGTAAACCACCAAGACCACCAAGGACCGGCTCAACCACTTCGGAACTGGAATTAGCAACTCGAAGTAATCTTCTTCAGATCTCTGGGTCTTGAACCAGCAGCTGAACATGATTCCATGAAGGCAAACATAGGCCGACTGGCGCGTTGCGAATGTCATCTTCCGAATCGCCACGGAATATAACAGAGTCGACGTCCACTACATAACAGTCATGATCTGGATCATGATTGTCGGTTGCGGGTCGAATCGAATTGGGTTGGCAGTGAAAGTGTGGATTGAAGAGCGTCGATGGCGAAGGCAAGGGACCCAGATTGAGGGCGGTAAACATGGACTAGTCTGAACCTCCCCCATTGAGCCTGGTATTCATGATCGGAGGATCTACTGGCTATATGCTACACAAATGAGGTATTAAAACAATAAAACTTCGAGCCAATCCTTACTTGTAGCCATACAATCAAACCACATCCAATATAATACACAGACATTCCATCCCACTCTTCCACAACTCCAGCGACGACAACCAGCCACGCCACATCTACTCGTTCTTCTTCCCCTTATCCCCCCTCCCCCAAATCACTTCATCCACCTCCTTCCTCCGTCCTTTCAACTGAAGCACAACACCCTTCTCCAACGTGCGAAGCGGGCTGAACATGCCCACGCGTTCTTGATACGCCTTGTACTCCCTCGGGTACTTGCCCGCGCTAATGGACTCTGTGAAGAGCGTGGACGAGAAGAAGAGCAGCGAGAGTGCGAGGGCAGGGGCAATAAGCGCGAAGGGTGCGACGAGGGCGGAAAGGAAGGGGAAGAGCGCATATGGGAAGTTGTGCAGCGAGTCGGAGAGGGAGGGAATAAGATCCGTAGGTAAGGAGGAGACGGCAGGAAGGTGTGGTGGGGCGGGGGAGATAAGGGGAATAAGGGTAATTATCCACTGTAGGAGCATTTGTCAGTGAAAATTGGGCTTTATGAGGGGAGAGAATGAGGTACCCAAAAGGCCTGCTCGCAGAAGAAGTTGGGATGCCGAGAGTAGGCCCATAGTCCGCGGGTGATGAATCCACGCTTGGCATCTTCTGGGACGAAGTTCAGGCCAGCACCGGGCCATTGCTTCTTCTTATCGTATGGCTCGATATTGGTGATCTCATTCCCTTTTGCAGTAGCCAAGTAGGCATGCTTATACTGGTGGAATGCCCACTGTTGGTTGTCCGCCGTGAACTCGAATGCCTGGTCAATAAGTGCAAGTGCAGCGAGGAGATAGTCCGAAGTCGCAAGAGGGGTATGGGGTTGCATTGATGCAATTTTGGCAGGGAAGCCGAGGAGGAGCAGGAGGACGTTCTGGGTTGCAGCGATGAATGTAAGGTTTATGACCTGGAAGAGCCACACGGGAACTTTGGCGCGTAGGACGGCCCAGCGGTAATCTTCATCTGATCTGTAAAAACATCACATTGTCATGAGGTTCCGAGGTGACGCGAGGCAAGTATGAATGAATAGTTTACAGTTTGAAGAGGCCACGACGGTACGTATTGTACGTTAACCTGGAATGGTGAAGAGTTCAGTTATAGAGATAAGTCTTCTGGAAACCTGAACATACCGGATCATCCAGACGAAGGCCAGACCTAGCATGAGAGCCGCCCTCGGGCTGAAGTCTTTGGCTGTCGCCCAACCGAGGCTCTTCGGTGTGTGAGGGCATAGAAAGAATAAAGGCTCTTGTGGCCATAGAGGCAAGAGAGTATAGTAAGCAGTGTAGATGACCGGTAGGAAGTTCCAAAGACGATCAACTTGAGAAACGTTGGAGGTGATGAGAGACGCGACCCAGGTCACAACTGTTGTGGTTGCACAGAAGTCAACAGGCCACTTGTATGCTGGCGGTATGCTTGCGTAGATGTCCTTGAGGTTGTCCATGTTGTCGAGGGCAACAAGGTCAACGACTCTGAGTCCACGTTGATGACCGTCAGGGTCAGAGTTATTTGTTTCGGACTGTAATGCTCAGCGCTCAGCGGCGAACGACGGCGGACTTTGTCGTTTAGTGTCGAGTAGTGATCAACGATGGAGTGTCATCGGGCGTTGCCGAGCGATGACATCAGAGAGATGAACTCCGTCGACCCCTGTCTATTGAATATTCGTCTCACAAACACAAAATGTTGCCTTGTTTCTTTCTCTACTCTCATATCACTGCCCTGCTTCTTGGATATCGATAATTGTATGGGGTGGGCTCCTCTGTATCTTCACTCAGGATCAGCACGGCATTTGGCTTCAATCGACAAAATTCGATTGTTGACGCATGACTCGACCGATATTCTGTGCCGCTTGTGGTGCAATCCAGGTCCAACCAATGACACTCAGCCCGACTTGATCATGACTGAGGTCGATGACAACCGCGAGACACACTTGAATCGAGCTTTCAATCCAGAAACCGCGAAGCATTTGAATGCGTGCGTGGCTTAACATCAATTAACACAGATGACAGCGGTGAATTACAGCTTTTATATTCACACATTTGTGATGATTTACCGAGAGAGTATT